CTAAAACAAAGCAAATACTACATAAAACTGTTCCTCACACTTTTACTATTGGCAATTGATGAATATTCAGTTGAATATTATGTTATATAAGAGTGGTAAGTCTTCGTAAAAGTCCGTTAGCATATTAGCACTGGTAACGTTAGCGTCGGGGTAATATTACGTTTACTTACTTAATGTTAGCTCTTGTTAAACTTGTTTGTAAAAGTTTTGGCTTTTATTTATTCTTTATGTGTAGATGATAGGTTTTGTCAATTTTATTGAATGCACTCCATATGTAACGTTAGTCTAAAATACGCATTGTACTGTAAAGGACCGTGAATCAAAAGTTCAATCGTGTTTTGATATTTCATGGTATCTTAAACAAATGTTAAGTAAAAAAGTGTTCTGTGGTTTCAGGAGTGAGAGAATAACCCTCTGCTACAGAAAATATAACACAAGATTCCTAAATTTCTGAAGGGAGCTGATCACAGAGATGCAGGAAAGACAGGTAACTTTAAGCAGAGGATTAATTCATATGAATTTCCATTGCACATCATTATGCACATGTTACATGTCTATATATTATGTATCTGTTACTTGTCTTTATTGCAGTTATTTTAAGAAAGTTTTGACATTGAAACATGTGAGTGATATTAAATTTCACATCACATGATTCTTCAGAACTTAATAAATATGCAGATTTGCTGTTAATGAAGTAATATTTGTGATTTTCATTTTGTTTAATTTTTTTATGATTAATTGATTTATCAAATCTTAGAAAAAAGTTTACACTAAATTATTTGTCATCACATCTGTTTTTAGCATTGATAGCAATCCGAAATGTTTCTTGAGCAGCAAATCAGCACCATTTGATAATCACCATTATATTAGTTCAACCTCAAGCACTAAATCAACATCTTAAAAAAAGATTTCTGAAAGATCAATTGACACTGAAGACTTGAGTAATGATGCTGAAAATTCAGCTTTACATCATAGCTATGAATTACATGTATATTTACACCGTTCACTCATCCCTTACACCTTAACTCATCCTCAAACAAGTCAATTTAAGCCCTAAATGAAAAAATTTTGATTTGTACAGGCATGATATGCAACTTGTATTCAGTCGTTTTGTTTTTTCTTTCTTTTGGTTTTGTTTTCCACATCAACTGAAAAGAAGGTCAAAGTTTAACCTAAGTGCCGTGTAGCTGATGAACATCTTTATATGTAAGTATATTTTTGACTGACTGCCAGACAGTGATGAGCAAACGAGGGGCTGTTCTTTTAAAAAGATCAGGGAGATGCAAGTCTGGAGATTAATATACATTTTAATTCAAAATTGATTTATCTGGAAATATTTCATAATTTGTTGAGATATGTGCCCTTTATGCATTTAGATGTCCATCCATGTTTAAAATACTTTTAAATTTAACAACGGCTGCAAGTTATAAAAACAAACTAACACAAAAATGTTAAAGTAAATTGAGAAAACATTTTCATCAGTTTGACAACATACACAATCTCACAAATAGCATAGAAAAAGTGACAAAGCTGTCTTCTTTGTCTGTGTTTTATTACTCTCTTTGCACTCTCGGCCACTGTATGTAACAGTGATTAGTACAATGTAACAGTAGACAGATGAGGAATGTGAATATGTAGTTTAATTTTAAGGAGCGTTACTACTGGGACCATTTTTTTGTTCAAATATATATATATATATATATATATATATATATATATATATATATATATATATATATATATATGTGTGTGTGTATTGATTTACCTGTTAAAATAATTAAGCAAAAAATTAATTAAAAGGTAGATCAGCTCCTGACAGACATGTTAACAGATCAGCTTAACTCTTATTAAATTCATTCATTCATTCATTTTCTTTTCTGCTTAGTCCCTTTATTAATCTGGGGTAACCACAGCGGAATGAACTGTCAACTTATCCAGCATATGTTTTACGCAGTGGATGCCCTTCCAGCTGCAAGCCATCACTGGGAAACAACCATATACGCTTATTCTCACTTATACACTACAGACAATTTAGCCTACCCAATTCACCTGTACACCATGTCTTTGGACTTGTAGGCAAAACCGGAGCACCCAGAGAAAACCCACGCAAACGCAGGGAGAATTTGCAAACTCCACACAGAAATGCCAGCTGATCCAGCCGAGGCTCGAGTCAGCATCCTTGCTGTAAGGCAACAGCACTACCTATTGTGCCACCACGTCACGCTCTTATTAAATTATATTTATATAAGGTTGTGTTTCAGTACATGCTATTTTGGGAAGACAAAATATATTCATAAGCTCTCAGAAAATTCAATAAGACAATTAACTGCACAATTACTTGAAGTGTGTGGATGGGATTACATTATTTGTTAACCCAAAGTGAGTTTCTCTTTCTTTGCAGTATTGGATGCCTGATTGCAGTTCAACTCCAAACTCAGTTGGACAAGCTGATCAGTGTCTTCAGTATTACCACAAGCTACTGTGCAGATGTGTGGACAGCTATGAGCCAAACTTGGGACGTTTGGTTTTTAGGTAATACCAGTGACAAAGTATTCAGTAAATTACTTATAATAAAAGATGCTCACTGCTTACCCCCTTATAGTTAAGTTGTTTGCAGTTTCATTGTTGTAAAAATACCATACTTTTTCATTTTTTATCAGCAGGTGGAGAGACCGTCTGGGCAGCAGAAACAAGACAACTAATCATAGTTGAGTTGAGATTAGCATTATTAACTTGACTAGTTTGGTTGCAGACTTGTTCAATACTTAACAATTTGTATAAGTTACAAGATCAATGGTCCTGCTATTAATGTTTTTGTAACTTAAATTCATTACAGTTTAGATACAATCAAATGTCCAAACCATCTCTGAGTGAATGACATCAAGGAAACAGGATCAAAAGATCATTCATTATAGACCGTTTCATAGGTAACAGCACATCCTTTGTGAAAAATAATTTATTTTTGTGTCATCATCACAAGACAAAATACACTTCAACTGATTTCAGTTGGTTATATTTTTCAGGTCATTCTGTTCTCCTGGTGGTGAGGATGTGCAGAGGCTGTATTTGTCAGTGTTAAAAGACTTGTGCAGCTGTATCCACACATACAAGCAGCCAACAAAGAGTTCTGGAGCAGGACAGACAGGTAGTTCACAGTGGCTAGGCTCGAAGTTTATACCTGGGTGGCCAGAAAGTGGCCTCCGCTATTTTGGGGGGTCCATACAAATACACCAGTGTAAGCTATACTATTGCACTGAAAAAATAAATGAAAGAATTAATTAATCGGTTGAACACAAAATATTTTAAAGAAAGCTTAAGTATCAAGGTGGCAATATACAGTATCTGTTATATTGTAGTACATGAGCTGGCTAATACAGACTCGTAAATGTTTAGTTGTTAAGATTAGTTAAATACTAAATCCTATACTTGAGACCGGCTGCATATACAGCTTTAACTGAACTGAATTTAACTAGAACTACACCAGCATTCCAAGTGCTCTAGACTAGCTTTTTGCACTGGTGCGTCTAAAATGTTTGATGGCATTGCATTTAACACTGCAATTTTACATGTTAAAATCACAATCCATATAGGCAATATTGACTTGTAAATGTTTTACTAAAATCGGGTCAACACACATTATTGGGATTGTGTGTAGAATTTTGAGGAAATTAATGAATTTAATCCATTTTGAAATAAGACTGAAACATTAAAAATGTGGAAAAAGTGAAGCGCTATCAATACTTTCCGGATGCATTGTATATGGTTTTTAGCACGTTATGAAAGACTTAAAAAAATAGTCCAACATTATCTACAGCAGCAAAAGACCCTCCACATCAAAAGCTACTGGTCAGCTCACAATTCAGCAAACATCTGAAAAACAAATAGCTTATTATGCCTTCACAAAAAAATCTGTGTTTTTGAGTCTAATGAAGATAGTACTATTTTATTAAATTATTATTTAGCCTGGCATGTTTACTGTTACAAAATATTTTAAATGTTTCTTAAAATAAAACATATTGTGTTCAATGGGGGAAAAGTAGCTGTTTTTACACAGAGATAAAAAAAACACATTTCAGAGCAGTAATCACAATACTGTGAAACTGTGATATTTTTATCCAAGATTATACCCTCAGAATCTTATACCTGCCCATTCCTAGCCAGTTACTTAAAGCATTCAGTCAGAGTTTTTTTTTTTTTTCAGTTGGCCTATATTCTGTTTTTCTATGTTCTTGGAAATGCTGCTGTGCATGAAAATGTGACGACATATCCAGGTTCTATAGTTAATTCTGAAATAAATCTTAAAATGAAACAATATTTAAAAATGCAATATTTAATGTGTCAGACACTAAATAAACATGTCAATTCATTTATATTAATCTGATTCCTTAACAGGGCAGCACGGTGGCGCAGAGGGTAGCACGTTTGCCTCACAGCAAGAAGGTCGCTGCTTCGAGATTTGGCTGGGTCAGTTGGCGTTTCTGTGTGAAGTTTGCATGCTCTCCCCGTGTTGGCGTGGGTTTCCTCCGGTTTTCCCAAGTCCAAAGACATAGGTGAATTGGGTATGCTAAAATTGACCATAGTGTATAAGTGTGTGTGAATGAGTGTGTATTGGTTGCAGCTGGAAGGGCAACCGCTGCGTAAAACATATGCTGGATAAGTTGGCCTTTCATTCCGCTGTGGCGACCCCAGATTAATAAAGGGACTAAGCCCAAAAGAAAATGAATGAATGAATCCTTAACAGTTAATATTGGTATAATGAGCAGCAGTTGTCATTTATGTAAATTAACCATTTGAGCGTGCTTAGTTTGGGGTATGTTGTGCCATTAAATTGTCAATTGTCAATTTTTACATTTTAAATCTGCTTTAGCTTTCTTCTTTCCTATAAACCTGGAAATATAAAATATATATATTTTTGGATTTTAACAAATTGCTTATTTTAGTCTTAGATTGGTGTACGCTGATGGTCTGCTGAGAATTCTGCTGAGTTGAAGGGATCCTCCTGTCAGACAACCTCTCCAAAGTACAATAGGACTAGTAAGTAACATCTTAAACCTACACTACTGTTTCATAGCTTTTAGGTTGGTATGGTAAATTCTCTTCTGAGAGTGTCAGCTTTATTTAATTAATACAGTCAAGCAGTAATACTGTGAATTTAATACAATGTATATAATTAATAGTGTCACATGATGAAAAAATAGTATTCCAATGTACTGATTCTCTCCTCAAGCTGTTTTTTTTAAATATAAAACAGTTTAAATAAACATTTTTAGTATTCTTGATGTATGAAAAGTTTATTTTTAAGAGCATAGTATTTATTTGAAAAAAAAAGTTTGCTCTTTGATGATTGCTAACAATCAGACATGTTTCTTTAGAACAAAAAAAATTTGTGCAAAAAAGTATTCTCACTGAGCGTTGTCCAACTGTGGTCCAACACGTCATTTAAGTTTTCAAATAAGCCTAAAAGACTTGATTAGCTGCATCAGGTGCATTTAATTAGAGAGTTGAATATATAATTTCTTTATTTATCCTCCTCTATAGCCCACATATAATAGAAGTTGTTTGCTGAAAAACCTTTTTGTAGCAGAAATAAAGCTATGATTAGGCCCACCCGGATTTTTCGCAGAACTCCGCAGATGTTTAGCCAAACATTAATTGTTTATTTACTTGATTAAATGTGTGTAAATGTATATTAATTCAGTTTTTTAATTAATTTCAGTAATATTATTGACTAATGTGAAAATGTTCATCTGATTTATGTACAATGAGGTTTGTACAGTAATATTTTCTGTCTTACTAGATGTTATATGAAAAACTTGCTTTATTTACCAAATAAAGTGAATCTAATTGGATTTGCATTTTAAACATTAAATAAAACTTAAAAATATATTATTTTTTTATTTCATATATTAAGGTTTTAGTTATGATACTCCCAAAATAATTCCGCAGAAATCCGCAGACTTCCACCATAATTTTCAGCAGAAATAGCAAAAAACATCCGCAGATTCCTCCTGGCCCTAGCTATGATATATTAAATGTGGTGTACAGTGTGACATTTTAGTTGACGAAACTTAGTTTAATTTGCATGTAATGTGGTATCTGAAGATTAGACATATATTTAGATAAACATTTATACTAACACAATGATACTAAAAACCAAAAAAAAAAAAACATTCATTATGATTTCACAAGAAATTTAACTTTCAAATGGCTTTTCTGAAAATTAGTGCTCAGACACACTCTTTAAGTTTAAATTAAATTACACATTTTAGCTAGGCACTTGCATAACACATACTCCAGTTATATGTCATGAAACAAATATATATTTGTGGTAATATGAACTGCTGCAATGCTAATCTTTCTCCTTTTGGTTTCTTGCATTATTTAAGGGTTCCCACTACAACTTCTTGCTCTGATCTATATATATATATATATATATATATAGATCAGAGCAAGAAAATGTTATGTTTTCTTCTGCAGAAAGTCTTATTTCTTTTTTTTAATTTTAGTTTTGAATTAAAAAAAAAACATTTTAAGGTCAATATTATTAACCCCTTTAAGCAATTTTTTTTTCGACTGTCTACAGAACAAACCATCGATATACAATAACTTGCCTAATTACCCTAACCTGCCTAGTTAAGCCTCTAAATGTCACTTTAAGCTGTATAGAAGTGTCTTGAAGAATATCTAGTCAAATATTATTTACTCAGTTATTAGAAATGAGTTATTAAAACTATTGTGATTAGAAATGTGTAAAAAAATATTTTCGTTAAACAGAAATTAAGGGATTATATACATATATGTATGTATAATCCCTTAATTTCTGTTTAACGGAAATATTTTTATATACATTATATACATTATATACATACATACATATATATATATATATATATATATATATATATATATATATATATATATACAGTATTGTTATTTTATATTATTGATGTGTTATTAGTTCAGAGGAGATTGCAAATTGTTGAATGCCATTTATAAAAAAATAAAAAAAAAATTTGACTACAGACTTTAATAAGATTTTATCAGACAATTATTTTAATTTGTATGATTTTATTCACTTCTGTAAATATTGTTTGCTTGGTATTTATTTTGTGTTTGTGTCCTCTTTTATTAATGTAACTCCCTGAAGAAAGTCTTTTGGATACTGAACACATGACTGGTATTATCTTATATTTTAAAATTATAGTCTTGGAAACATGCATTTTCTTTAACACTATTTAAGAAATTATAAGCATTATAACATGTGCTTACACAAGTTATTTGTGTTTTAACTATAGTAAACTGTAGTCACCCTTAGTGTACATGTTCTGAAGTACTTGTAAATATTTCTATGGTCTTAATATAAATGCTGCAATGGACTTTGTATTTAAAATCTTTATTGCACAGTAGTTCAGCCATGGTTATAGTACAACTTGTTGGTTTTGTTTTAAACGTGGTAAAACATGGTTATGTGTGATAAAAGTATGTTAATCTATTTGTATGTTTGTGAAAATATTAATAAATCTTCAACTTATTGAGAGTGGTGTGTCGTGTTTATTATAAATAAGCAGCTGTTGCAGCTAGTGGTCCATAAGTATGAGCAAAACGCCTGAGAACAGCGCCTCCGCGGAGCGGCCGGTATATCCGGTTGCGTCGTCCTAACATCGGCCGGACAGCGTTTCCGATCATTTGCCGACGTCGCGGCGACATTTTGCCAATTAGCAAACGCTCACTGAGCGACATCGCACCGATGGAATTTTGAAAATCGGCACGACGTCGGCCCAACGTATGTGTGCTGTCTGGGAATACTATTTTATTGCAACGCCAAAGTAGGCTTGTCTTATTTTTTGTAATTTGCTGTTATTGTTATTGTTGGCTACATGGCAGGCTTTGCGAAATATTTTAAATAACATTTACTCATAACCTTACTAATTCGAGAGCCGAACCTAAAAAGGTTTTAGTGCAATAAGCCTGTACAATAAAGTAAGCCGCAATGCATATTTCTAGTGCATTCTCTTAACAATTATTGCTGGAATAATGAAATAAATTTCAAATTAACTAAATTAAACATATTATAGTTGATAAAAAAATAGTATCTAGTTCCGACAAACAGATGAGCTCGCTGCATGTGCGTTGCGCTAATAATTTGACATTTGCTCTACCTGAGAAAGTGCTACAGCGTGCCCTGCTATTTCACATACAAGGTTAGTGATAAGTATTTTAAAATAGTATTGCACATTATTCATTCATTTTCTTGTCGGCTTAGTCTCTTTACTAATCTGGCGTCGCCACAGCGGAATGAACGCGCACGCACATGCACACACACGCACGCACACCCCCCTTTGGACTGTGGGGGAAACCTACGCGAACGCACTACACTACTGAATTAGAGGACACAATCTCAAAAAAAAAAAAAAAAAACTTGATGCTTATTTACATTATCTAAAGTAATTTCTTACGAGGTAGGATCTTGTTGTATTATATATTTTTGTTTTGATATGCAAATGTGGCGCGAAGGGGGGGGGGATAAGGCTTTTTGTAGTAGCCAGACCAATACAATCACTTGCACACTGCGGCCGAATTAACACAACCTATTGCAATTAGAGCTCGACTACGCCACCCAGTACATTACCTGGGACACAAATCACAGGTTCATATCTCTGACAATAAGGGAATGAGACGTGGATGTAGAAAAATAGAGTTCCTTTTATTACAATGCACTTCTCATTGGACTACAAATATTAAAATGACGGCACAAGTGCTTTAAAAAGGCACTAGAAGGCGGTTACAAAATACAAAAAAAAAACAAATCCTCATCCAACCGCAGGAGCTGGGGCTTACTAAGGTCGGGCAGGCTAGGCACTGGGCCCGAGAATGACCCACAAATTCACACGTGCACACTCTTAGATTCCAAAAACACCACACAGTGAACTTCAATGCACACAAGTGAGCAAAAGACTAATTCATCAAAAGAGCCACGCCACACAGCAGCCTGACTGCCCGTACTAGACACCCCCAGCTCCTAGGGAGAAAAGAAAACCACAATTAGGAAGGAAATAAAACACTTAAGGAAACACAATATTAAATGGGCTCACAGGGGTATCAAAAACAGACTACTTGAGCAGCTACCAGCCGCCCAGGGGCACGGAGGTGACAGGCCCCCGCTAAAAAGAATCCCAAATAATATGTAGTAAAAGTTAGAGCACAAGGTCACAATATTGGAACAGGACAACGCACCAGAATGCAGGTATAGAAGCAAAGCCAAGCAGTCAGTTAGACAACACTTGTTTTAGGGGTTCCCATTTTTTGTAAATGTAGAAAAAAACAAACATCAAAACATATGCAAAACAAAAAAAAAAAAAACACTGATACAAAAGCAACGAAAATAAATAAACGACAAAACAAAAAGCAAAACAAAAAAAAAAAAACAATTAACAAAAACAAAAGAAACAAAACAGAATCAAAACTGAATTAACAAACAAAACAGCAGCATCCAGCAGGTGTCAAGGGCAGGAGAAGAGGCTCAATCCACAGTGTAATCGCTACACGAGATGCCAGTCAACCCTCCGGCAAAGCCAGGCGTCCGTACTAATAACTAACTAGAAAATATAACAAAAATCAGTTTCTACTCATAGTAGTTTGATATGCACAGAAATGTACGAGCGGTAGCGCCCTACTTACCGATTGGGAAGACAGCAGTCACGGGAACGCGCAAAAGTTTCAACAGAATCACGAGGGAGAGTTCAGCTCTATGAAACGCGACTGGCTGGATTTTCGTTTTTTGGTTTAGGGTAGGAAAACGGATAAACGACTTTAAAATTCATTTTACACATGTAGGCGGTGCTGAAACGCCCACTTTCCTCTAATTGGTCAACCAAATCTGCGCTCGTGACGTCACCCTCAAAATAAAAGCCTTACACGCAGGCTTTTAATTATTATTATTTAATTATATATTAACCAAGTTTACATATTCTATCATTTGAACCACACACAGTTAGCAGGCTTACATTCATTGCGTATGTATAAATTAAATAAAA